GTGCGTGTGTGTGTGTGTGTGTGTGTGTGTGTGTGTGTGTGTGTGTGTGTGTGTGTGTGTGTGTGTGTGTGTGTGTGTGTGTGTGTAAGTGCATATACAGTACCTCCCCCTGTATATCCTCCCAGAGGGGGACACACACACACACACACACACACACACACACACACACACACACGGACACACAAAGGCGGCCTTCAATCGCCCACATCCAGAGCGGCCAACTTTACATCATCCGCATGCGGAGATCTCGCAGTTCCTATGAAATGTCCTGCATATACATGCCATGAAGACCGCACGGCTCTCTCGACACTGAATTTGAAGGGAATGAGGGGAGAGACTTCGATTGGCTGGGACTCGGCTGAGTTTCTTTCCCTCCCACAACGGCGCACGCTCATGTAGAAAACAAAAAAAAGGAAAGGAATCGTCACCCATGCGCAGAGTTGGAAAGCGCTTTGCGCGAGACTTGTGCACAAAACAGAGCCCTGGCAGAATAACAAGACAGCGGATTGTCAGCGAGTTTGTTATTTAGGTGCCTTAGGTTCGCTATTGGAGGTGGTGAGGACTAAGCGGAGCCTCGGAGGGGATGGAGCCTTTTCTGAAGGAAGGACCGGCATCTTTATTCCCTGGCTTTTTTTTTTAGATGGAGGTCGTGATCAGGACAGGGACAGTGCGTAACAGTCGGTAGCTCTGTTACTGTCGATTTTCTGGCAAATAGCATTTCAGCCGCCACTGTTGATACTTCAAAACAACTTCACACAATAGACGGTGCAATGAGGCGATGGACTGGTATGAATTCGACAAGCAGGCTCCCACCAAGACGCCGACAGGCCCTCTGCTGCCACCTTGCACCGAGGCCATTAAAAAAAGGCACAACGGAGCCTGGAGTGTCAAAACGCGTGTAGACTAAACACAGCCGAGTGACTACAGCTGGAGCAGAGCGGGCTCCCGCACTCACACGCGCAAACATGAAACGGGCGCTTGGGTCATTGTGCTTTGGAAATGGGCATCGTTTCTGTTTGCAATCATTTCTCCCACGAGTACAGACGCTCACAAAGGCGCACACGTCCTTTGTTGCAGAGCGCCTCTGCGAAAATCGAATCAAGAATCCCCGAACTAGAATAAGCAGCACCATATGAGAAGGCGTCCAAATCGACTCCATCTTAGCCCAAACATGCTTCAACCGGTGGGAGGACTGCCGCCCAAACGCGTGCGTGCGTGTGTGTGTGTGAGTGCGTGCGTGTGTGTGTATGATGTACCTCTGTGCCACATCGTAGGACTCTGGGTGGATGCAGGTCTGGTCCAGAGGGTTGAAATGCGTCGCTACGGTGGCATTGGACTTCCCTTTCACCTTCTTGGCAGCTGCTTTGGCTGGCACTGCTGGAGGAGGCGCACTCTTGGCGCTGTTGTGGCATGAAGAAGAAAAAAAAAAAACATGAAATTCGATTAGAAAGCACACATTTACCACTACTGTGCAGAGGAATCTCTGAATAGAAATGGGCCAAGGGGCTCGTACAAGGAAGAATCCAGCCAGAATTGTCGGGAAAAAAAATGACTTTAGCTGAGCTTGGTCTGTTCATCCTCTTTGCTACGTATTATTATTTTAACTTGTGTTTGCTGATGTGTCCATGCATCACATACACACAGTGCAATGCATGGTGTGCTGCCCCCCAAGAGTGAAAACGCTTCCCACCCGCCTCCACACAGATGGCTCTGTTCTGTCAACTCGTACCTGTGGGCAGTTTGGTTGATTCTGATGAAGCCGGCGCACTGCTGGTAGCTCTTTGGTCCCATGCCTTTGACCAGCTTGAGCTGCTCCCTATTGAGGAAGGGACCGTTCTGCTCTCTCCACTCGGCAATACTGCGAGCCCTCCCCGTGTTTAAGCCTGCGACGTGCCTACAAGACAAGAGCAGAAAGAAACCGGCGGTTCAGTCCGCTCCGAATGAGGTAACACAAAAGCAGCACACGGGCCAACTCGGAGGAGATTTGTCCGAGCAATAAAGAGAGGCGATTTGGAGCGCTGTGACTCACCCGCTCTTAAACGCTCCACCGTGTCAACACTCCACATAATACCTCAGTCATCAACACGTCTGCGGGAGTTTGTAGGCATACGGAGCGCGACTCGGTGGTTGCGCGGCCGGGTAAATAGATAACATGATGCCTGCCAGCTCGTTTTGGCGCTCTTCGCTTCGACAGTGAACCGTACGTGCCAATATGCGACACTGGAGCTTTTCGATGCGGATTTGTATGACTGTTTTTTTTTTTTTTTTTTTTGGTTTTTTTTGGTCCATCTACCTCATCAGAATCTCGGAGCAGATGTTGATGTCAACCCCGACGAAGCTCACACACTCCTGCACCACGCCATCGAGCGCCGCCTTCAGAGCTGCGGATGAAACGTCATGCTGAAAACACACAGACAAAACCAATGAAATGTTAGCAGGTGGACTGAGAGTAAAAGAAAGTTAAAAAAAAAAAATTCTTTCGTAAACCATTTCTGATACGCATCTGAGACTGTGTAGGCAAGAAAGAAGTCCCCCGGGTGGATTATTACATTTCATCCAGTAAAAGAGATTATCGTCAGGCGAGCCAAAACAAATCCTGAAGCGACGAGCGACATTTGACTGACAACGAAAGGAAAGAGATGTGATTGACAGACGGAAAGAACACACCGAGGGCGCAAAGACAGTCGCTGTTTAACTTGGCGACGCACACGTCTCATCCAGCGGCCCAACAACAACTTGGGAATGGCCTCCAAAAAGGCTTGGAATGTTTTCCCTCTGAAGGGAGATAGCGAGGCAGGGCAGGGGCCCGCGAGCGTATCGAGTCTGACCACCGCCGAGCGCCGGGGCCCAACTCCAAGGTGGAGGACACCGATACGTCGGCAACTGACAAGTCAACTACCGTTTGCGACCGTGGACGCCATTGAGCCTCGTTGACCCGTAACACGATCTATAAACAAAGAAACAAATGAATAAAATCATTTCGCTCAGTCGGTCGGTCGGTTTTATTTTTTCGACAAAGAGTATGCCTTTTGGATTGATTGGCACCAGTGTCGGGACGAGTTCAGAGTTGTTCCAAAGTGCAGTCCACAGACTGAAGCGACTATTGACAGGAGCAAATGTCGGCCCGAGAGTTTAAGGCACGGACGCTTACAAGGCCGCCCTCGCCTGTCACATCGCGGTTGAAAGTGTTCAGCTTCTTTGAACCTCAACCTTGTAAAAGCACTGTGGGCCGGTTGCTAAATGGAAGATGTGATCATAGAAACGAGCTGCGTTAAGGAAAATCAACACAAACTTAAACGACAAGTCGGGCCTGACAAATTTGTCACCACAATCGAAATGAATTTGATATTTCCATTTCTTTTTTTTTCCTTCCCCCAAAGAGAACCAAAAGGCTGATTTATTCCGAGTTGAGTCGGCTTAGGTTTGAGCTTCAGGTTCCACTGCCTTTCTGTTCAAACATTTTGCTCGACCAAATCATGTTCAGAGAAATAATGAGGTGCTCCCTCCCAATTATTGATCAGGGAAACGGCTCCAAATGCCGATTCTTGGTAACAACGGAAGGAGAATGCATCCGATTCTGAGCTGAGAAGAGCGCCGGGACCCCGCGGCACGAGGCAATCGAAAAAAAACGAGCGGGACGTCACGCCACGACACGCCACGATGTTGCCGTTTCCCATGAAGGCGAACAGGAATGATTTACGACTCGGTGCCAGCGAGCGGATACACAAGGAGGGCGAGTTCCGAGTGTCGAGGAGGAAATCACCTGTCATGTTACACCGGGGAAGAATGTTTTCACACGAGAAAAGGTGAAGGCGTTTGAGTGGGCGATGGGCCTCCGCCTGCAGTCGGGGCTCTCTCACACCTTGTGGAACGGAACCTTTGAGTGGGTGAGCGAACTTCCCACGACACGGGGAGAAACCGGCCCAATTTCTGACTCGACTGAACCCTGCCGGCTGCTGTGTCCTTTTGGAGGGGGGCAGAAGCATGGGCAAACCCGTCCCATACAACGGCACCACCTTACACGACTGACAAGGTGGAAAATCAGTTCAAAAGAATGCAGCTGAAGAAATCATCCGCTTCCATTCACGGCTACTCTCGCGGTCGGCTTTGACATGACAGTAACATTACAATTACAACAGATTGGAAAGAAACAAAACCATTTTTTGACCTTTTTTTGGGGGGGCGGGGCCACCTGGGGGAAACACGGTACGGTACATGGAGTCAGACTCCGCTCCACAGGAAAGCAGTCATATCAGCTGCTCTGCGCAAAGCATATCAAAGAAGCTATGCCTGTGACTTTGCTTATCGCACTGCCTTGTGTGTTCAAATATCTCCTGCTTACAGGATTATAACCTGGCATGACAGATGCTATCCGCCGGCCCGTGTATGGGGGTTTCCCGTGATGCGTCAGCATTGAGCTAGCGGACTCGAGAGCAAATGTATGCAGCTGTTTGAAATGCAAATGTGTCATTCTCTTTGTTTTAGGATGAATTTGACAAACTTCAACTGGGAGTGGCAATACACAGCTCGAAGCCTCTTTTTGTACAATTCTCTGCACTTAACATGCTGCAAAAGTGCGTCCCATGCCTCCGCGTCAGGTCTCTCCTAAGGGAGGCAGCGGTTTTCTTGCGTACACGTGCAGTAGCGAGTCGATCAAAAAAGGTTGGGCACCCCTTCAATAGATGAATGCCCCGGTTTTGCGGTACTTAACCTCCAAAGCGCAGAGAGAAACCTTGTTTGGATTGGCTCCAAACCAGCCGAAGGCAGCCGGACAGACCTCCTGTCTGCACCTTCAAAGCGTGCATGCCACAGTGACCGCATCAGATGGGCCACGGGTGAGAATGCACAGTCTCGCGCAACAAATGAAGCTCTCCCAGTGAAAGATGAGATAAAAACATCATCTAAAAGCACAAGATGTAAATATATATCGGAGCGAGGAAGACAAAGCAAAAAGCAAAGAAATGAAATGCAGAGATCGGAGGCGATGACAGACAATGATGACAGGAGAGCAAAACAGTCAGCATTCATGACGGATGAACTCGGGCCACTGGAAAACGGCTGCAGCCAGACTGGCCGCAAACACTCACACGCCTCGACAACGGTCAGCGTTGCAGGGGACAAATCAAGCGCTGTTGACGCTAGACTGGCAGAACTTGAAATACAGTGATAAAGCATAAAAGGCTTTATGCTTTAATTAACTGCATTAAAAAGGCTGCATTCATGTGCTGTTTTTTGTTTGTTTGTTTTTTTTTTTTTCAACTATGCATGAGCTCGTTTGAAAAGGTATCCAGCCCTTGCCGCAGTGAAAGTGGCGTTCCCACAACAAGAGTTCACGCCAATCTTGCGGCGTCTGAGAATATTTGGAGCGAGCAGAAACCTGATGACGATCTTCTACAGAACGACCATTGAGTCGGTCCTGCTCTTTGGGAGGAGAACCACTCGGTTTGGGAATCTCCGAGTTACAATTTAATCATCAGGACGATGTGGGGTGTGGATTTTGGGTGAGTGTTGGGTTAGTCTGCACTGTATTTTGTCGACACTGCATGTAGCAGCACGGGGTGGGCCTCGTCCTCCAAGAAAAGTTTCTCCTGTGGGAGACCAAACCAAATCCAATTCAAATTCAATCTGATTCAAATGATCCTCCACTCTCTTAGCCCTCAGCTCATTTCCTTCATTCTCTCAGAGCTGTCACTCATCGGCCTGAGTGGCGGGGGAGCTTAACAGCGACCCCGTTGTGCCAGCTGGCTAGAGTTAAACTTTTTTTTTTTTGGGGGGGTTACTCATGGGCAATAACATTTGAGAAATCTCACAATGTCATGAATCACACATGCAAGAGGATGAACAAATAGTGCTAATAGAAACTTGCGCGGCGCTTTCATAACACACGCATGTGCACACGCACGCACGTACATACACACACACACTAACAGAAATTCGGGAGAGCTCGCAGGTCGGAGGGATGCCCCGTCTCGTATCTGTCAGCGCCCGGGGTTTATTTACCCGGTTATATTATCATTTGTTGACCCAGTCACATGATCTGAGGATGGGAGGTGAGCAACCCCAGCGGCACCCTGGAGAGTCATGTGATGAGAGACGCAGGGCCTGTGACCCGACAAAGCCAACACACACAGGCACTTACACAATATGACCTCCGCCCTTCTTTCCAATTTCATTCTGCACCGAGTCGTCAGTGTTGCTGTCATTCTTCTTTCACCACCTGCTGACTTTTCTTGAGACCCCCCTAACCCCCATTTCAATACGGGCCTTCCCTTTGATCAACAGGGGGAATGACTAAAAACGAAACAGCTTTGTTTTGGTCGAACTCCGACTGTAGTTGTCCGACTTAGTTGGAGTATAGGTATTCACATTCTGATTTTACGGTGCGGGACAGAAGCATATAGAGTTGCCACCTGCAGCATATGAGCTGTGAGGGTCAACAAACACAGTGCAGCTCAATTTTGGATAGATGGCTGTCATGGTTTGTGATATCAATTTGGCAGTATGGAAAATTAAAGACTAAGGTATCGTGATTTGTCTTTTTTCTTTTTTAACCCAATGGCGAAAAAGTGGTGGGAATACATTTAAAGGACATTTGTAAAATTTCTCAGAAAAAAAAGGATTGATTGGAGAACAAATAAGTATCTTTGCGCAATGTACATGTGTATGTTTAGTGCCTCAAAAGTGTATTTTGATGATTTTCTATATATTTTGGGAGACAATTTAAGGCAGGCGACGAATCTCATTATCTCCAGCATCACGGGTGCAACATTGGCCCGGTGGTTGCAATTTTCACCTCTGGTTTTAGATGAAAAACTCATGTAAACCACCTCTTTAACACAGCTATATTATAATATACAAAAAATACAACATTAGGGCAAAAATATGTTGAAAAAAAAAGAGAGACAAAAAATAAAATAGACGAGCCTCATTAAAACAGTCATTTTCTTTGCCGTCCGTGTCACATCCTCTCCATACTGGTCTTCGTCTACCCTGTGAGATGCTAAAGGGCGTATTAATGACAACAAAAATATGACAACACTCATGGTCTGGACGGTCGCCACCCTGCATCGGTTCTTACTGAATCCAAGTGACATTCCTCATATATCGGTGATCGTAAAATGAAAATGCCTTTCTCCAAACGCGATGTCGAGTGCAACCTTTTTGCGTTTCAAAACACCAAGTTCTCATGCGGTCACACAGTGCCGCACGCACAGTGAAAAGCTTGTGCACGCACATGCGGGCGACACGTAGCCAGCGCGCAAGCAAAAACACGCGTCACTCCGGGCCATTAATTGAGTTAGCGCTCACCGCTAGCGTCATGTGTTGACACAGGCCTCCACTGACTTGATCTACAACCTCGAGTGCCTCTTCTTCTATCTCCTCCCCGCTGCGCAAGGCCCATTATTACTATTTGTGTTTCCCCTGAAAGACGAGGACTCGGCATGAAGCCTCTTACCTGGTATGTTCCAATGCCTATGTGTTTTGGATCGATCTTCACAAGCTCGGCCAACGGATCCTGGACGCGTCTTCCGATGGACACTGTCGACACACACAGAGCAGTGGTCAGGCGGGAAGCCGATGACGCCTCACCGCAAGGCCGCGAACTATCTCAATCAGGTTATTGAATAGTCACCGCAGCGTGATTTATAAGTACCGAAAATGCAAATGTTCCTATTACGGCTGAGGCCTGAGGGGGAGGCCAAAGCCAATTGTCATTGCGACAGCCCAATAATAATTAAAGATGGCTTTAAATTAGAGCCCCCGCATCTGTCATTTAGATTCCTGAAAGATGTTGTGGAGACATGCACGCACACACCTTGAGAATGACTAATTTAGACCGGCGCGTGCACACAATTAGTAGTAGTGTGTGCCCGAAGGCGTCGGTTGAACGGGAAAATGTATTTTTCCATGACTATGCTGGCAAAGGATTACAAATGAAAACAATCACAAATAAATAAATAACAAATTGAACGAACATGCGCATGTACGCACCGGAACGCATGAGCTCAGAGCGCCAGACACAACAAGCGCATGAATGGAATGCGAAAACACAACCTCACACAACCGACCTTTTCTAAATTCCTTTCAAATGAATGAAGCAATTTTATTCTGTGGGATTTTAAACACGCAGGACAAGTCCTGGACTAGCACGGTTGCACCCATAGGGGGCTGTTTTGTGCACAAGGCTTTCATGCATCTTCTGTAAAACTAGAATCAAAAAATCGTTCAAAGTTTAGCCGCCATTGATGAGTGTTGGGTATGGGACATCAGACTTGGATGTCCTTGGCAGAGGACAAGGGGAAGAAAAAAAAAAAAAAGAGACGGGCTCTAGAGCGCAAGGAGGAAGGGAGGGAATATGTCTGGAATCAAGGGCTCACCTCTCCCTCTTTCTCGACTCTGTCGCTGCGGTGGGAGGCTGCAGCCTGAGAAAATATTTAGACAGGGATGGAGTTTCAAACCTGCCCTTGCTCGGTGCACCCGGCAAACCCTCCTGTCCTCTTTGCTCTGCACCGTCCATCTTAACTCCACGCCGCTTATTAAACCTTTTTGAGCACTACAGTTTACTGTTACTCAAAGCACGAGGGAGGAGGAAAAAAACTAAAAAAAAAAAAAAAAAAAAAGAAGTAAGAGACGACCACGTGCGTAGAGGTCCGAGAAAAAAAAGGGAGATTGTTTTGCCGGCTAATACAAAGGCAATGGCGGGTTGGTTAGCTTTATCTGTCACCATGCAACCATGCAGGTGAAACACCAGAGAGGGATTTACTTTTGCCATTTTAAAATGTTTCCCCCTTGAATGCTCAGTCAGCAAAGGCCCGACTATCAGATCTGCCTCAAGATTATCCGGAGCACTTATACCGTGTCATCAAGTGGGTTGGTAGGAGTAATCCCCCCCCACCCCCCATTTCACTCGGAACGGGGAGAGGTTAATAATCGTAAATATGAAACAAGCTCCAACCATAGTTCCAATCAGGGCAAAATTGAGCATTACCCCCACTTCTGCTCATGTCCGTAAAGGCCCGCTCATCAGATGTCCCTCAAGGATTATCCTGTGGCGTGCGTCGTCTTAAGAGTGATTTTTCCTCCCCGATGCGGCTCAAGGTAACAATTGTAAATGTTAAACCTGTTCTATATACAAAGTGAGTGCAGTGGAACCACAGCCCATTTTTTGGTGTACATATTCTCTCCCTTCTCATTTTCAAGTTGGCAAAGGCAGAAAATGTCAGCCGCACTACCGAGATTGTTGCGTGGCAAACCCCTACATGTGTGGTCAACGCTGAGTTGGGCTGAGCCACCGACTCCAAGATTTTGACATGAAACAGAGCAAGAGCCAATTCGGAGGTTCATTGAAGCTGGCGCTGTTGAGACACAACTGGAGGAGCGACTGGTTGTGTCGAGCGCTTGGATAAGATGCCTCATTCGCTGCAATAAAAATGACAAAGGCAAACCATGCGCAATATCATCTTCCAGCTTCTCCTCCTACTCTTTCTCTGTATTTTCTGGTTGTTTGGATGCCTTGTGGCACCATGCTGCCTCTCATAGGTCAGTCTTGATACTGCACTAGATTTCCAATAGTGGGGTGGGCTTTGCGAGCTTCGCTGGCAAAATTGGTTGCGTCTTGTGTGCTGTGCTGGTCATCACAAGGGCCCCAAACACTATAAAAAACGCAAGCACATCTGACTGATTTTTTTTTTCCATGTGTGGGGTCTCTCTCTCTCTTTCACACACACACACACACACACACACACACACACACACACACACACACACACACACACACACACACAATCAGGTTGTTCGATTAGGATACAAAGAATCACTTTGTGTCTAACCTGCTTAAGGAGGAGAGACTGAACATAAAAACAGCCCTCTTGCCGACGAGTTAAAATATCGTCTTATACTGCCACAGGCATTCTTGATCGCACAATGACGGCTGGGAGCGATGGACGCTGCACGCGCATCACCCCTTTGTGGCCACTTCAAAGAATACCAAAGTGACACCGGCAGAACGTCCAAAATGCTGGGAATGGCCGCAAAAGAAAACAAAAAGTGCTGCTGATCACAGGAAACGGGCGAGGAATAATTCAGTCACGCTTGATTTAAGGCTTTTTATAGAGGAAGTCTGCTGGAAACATTTGTTCTCGGCAACCGTGTTTCAGTGTTGCCGCTGGGCGTTCAGTGATGGAATATGTGGAGGAACGCCGCGGAGACATAAGCCCATCTAATAGCAAAGCCAGATATTCACCCGTAAAAGTGGCAATAGTCCCGCTCGAGTGGAAATACCATCAAAATGCCATGAAGCAACGTCATCCGGCATGGCGGCTGGAGGGTCATGATTACCTGCGCTTCGAAGGTTTGGGTCCAAATCGGGCATCTCTTTGACTGCCTCGGGGCTCACGCTGTAAATGGATGCGCCGGCCTCGTTGGTGATACTGGTGCGGGAGAAGAGGAAGGGGTGAGGAGGATTGCATCACGATTGATTAAAAAAACAAAACATTTGCGACATTTCACATAAAAGACTTCATGACGATACATTAGTAACTTTACAAGGACAAACTTTCATGACATTTGCATACATTTGTTCTTCGCAATAAGTTGTGGACTTCATGAGACCGAATTCATCATTTACAGGACAAACATTTGTCACACCTTATGGCTTCTAACTGAGCCCTATGTTGACTCACTCACCACACATTTCTGAGCAATGCATGCTGAGTCAAGGCTTAAAGAAAAAATAAAATAAATCACTGGCCCTGCCCGACCTCTGTGCTTATGTGACACTACTGGCATCTAGAGGACATTAGGTTGTACTGCAGCCAAGGCAACATTTGGCGGCGAGGGGATTCATTTGCAAACGATTGTCAAAAAAAAAAATGTCGTTTTACAAATACCAATACAAAAAGTAAGTCAATGTCCTTGAGTACGGTGTATGCAAAATATCAGTCCATCTTAAGACTAATCACATTTGACAAACTGTCAGTATCGATGTATTATTTTAGTCTAAGTTAAAAAAAAAAAAAGAGTACTTAAACATAACTCACTAGAAAACCTACATGATATCGAAGCAAATAAGAAGTGTAAAATTGTAATTATTATTTCTTTTCAATCTGTTGATTCACGAGTATATGATGGATGTGTGCTCATAGAACTCTCTACTTGTACGGAATAGAGGGGAGGAAACAAAAACACCAACTGAAGGTTTCAGGACGTATCTGTACATAACCCGGTGACAATTCCTTTGTGATAATAATTGAGAGACTTTAGTCTGATTGTTTTTCAGCGCAAGGGACACATTTGGGCTCCGGTCATCCATCAGCACACCAACACAATAAAGCATAGGAAGCACGACTCCAGCTGTCATGTCGGTCAGTCGTTAGGATGGAAAAGGCGAAAGAAGAAGAAGGGGGGTGTGCCCTGGGGGCCTTCTAATATGATGATGAGGTCAGAGCCTCCTCTCAGTGTTGCACAATTTCAAGTGTGGCCTTCTTTCACTCGCTCGCTCGCACTACTACCATTCCCTCCCGGAGGCCTGCAATTTAAAAAGCAGCTCATCCTCTCCTATTCATGGTCACCAGCAGCCCTTGCCCGGCCCCCCTGTTCTTTTTGTCAGATCGCCAGCCATTGCGCTGACAGCTGACATATCGCCATGGTGACACCGCTAACGAGCAGTGGCACATGACCTTCAAAAGGGCCAAGTCAGAGCCGATCATTAATGTTTAGTTGCATACATATAGATTTGCACGTTTCTCTGATAGGCTGTTTCATGGAATAATGCTCTATGTGTTCACTCTGAGCATTCTTGTCAACATCTCTCTCTCTCTCTTTTTTTTTTCCATTGGTTTTGAACCATAAATATAAAAAGTATTATGTTGGGATCGCTATTTTTTCAATTTGATAAAAATATCAGCAGTTGGAAAAACATCCCTGATCGTACGGCATTGTTGTCCGGGTTTGCCTCAGCCCTCCCGTTATGTTGTGGGTCAAACCGAGCCAGCAAAATGCATTTCAAAAGTAGTTGAAACTCCTGCATCACCGACCCATTTCAGCGTCAACAAGGCGCAAAGGGTGAGAAGGCAGGGCAAAGCACCCGCGCAGTGACGTCCCGATCACGTCTAAGTGAATCGAGGCCGGCGGGGAGGCCGCCGGCTCATGGCACAGTCTCAGATCCAGCTCTGAGCCCTCATCGTCGGCGGCATCACCGGCCGCCGTGACGGCGAGGGGATCCGCCCTGCCCGGGAGGAGGA